ACTTCAGTGCCATGAAATATGAACTTTCAGAAAATCAAGTTTCTCTATAGACAGGCATATGAAGCGCATGAAGGAATGATGGAACAATAATTATGTTCCCATCCTGTTCTTTGTATTATGTGAAGATTTTTTTTATCAGTTTAAATCACTGAGCGTTCAGCCCTAATGTGCGCTCTTCCTCCAAATTATCATTTCCAAAAGAGATGGAAAACTGGAAACACTCACAGGCATGGCCCTTCTACTTTGCTGTCCTTTCCTGACTACTTTAATGAATAACGATACAATAAATGCTTTTACAGATATTGTTTAACTGTTCCAAATAGTACAGATATAAAACAAGATTAAGGAATCAGAAATGATAAAAATTTATCTCTCTTCATTCCTTTTTCTCTTAGATTTCCTGTGGGCACAGGAGATTTCAAAACCACCACTGCTGTTTATACCAAATCTTAAAAAATAACCTAGAGTCAAAATCTCACCATACAGATTTAAAAATTAGTTTCCTTTATAACCAAGTGATAATTTCACTCTGGGCCATTACTTTTGGTATAAGAGACAGAAGCAATTTTTCTCTGTTAAATTTGGTACTTTGAAATCTGGAAGAGGAGTAAGAAAGAGGAATATACAGTTCTCTACTGTGTAAGTCTGACTTTCCCAGTTCCCCAACAAGATGACAAGACTTATAAAAGTCAGGAGATGGGACAATAAAAGGTTATCTGGGTCTCCTATATTATCTGGAAGTCAGACATCACGTGGCACTTCCCAAAAGAAACAAAAAAATTGCTGTAAAGGGAAATAGTTGGGTAATTCCACTACCTGGACTCACATTTTGGTCACTAGTTAAAGCTAGATGTTTTTGAGGAATTAGGCAAGAACAGGTGCATCACAGGATGGAGGACCAGACATACTGGTAAGGCAAACTTCTCCCTCATATAGTCTTTAAATTTTCCCTAAATATTTTTTCTGTTTTCTTTCTTTCTTGTTTTTCAAAGACAAACACAAAGTAGAACTGGAATAGTGACAGGAAAAATAAACAAAACAAAAACCATCACACTGTAGGCCTATCAGGTCACGTTGTAAGTCCATCTACTCCAGAACTCCATAAAACATTGGCCCTTTGCCCACTTCAACACACAGTCTCTTGCAGAGTAAGAATTGCATGTTTAAGTCTTTGTGCTCTGCTTACAGTCCTTTTTTCTTGTTTTCCATATCCTAGCTACATTTCACAAAAAGTTCCAAGATTTGTTCAAGCACGGCTTTCAATGAAAGAAGACTGACAATGAGATGAGAGTCTTTCATAAAACCAAACTGAAAACTTTTCTTGAAACATCCTTCTGGGACCCTCCTTGTCCTTGGGCAGGATTTTTGCGTGTAAGTAGGAGATAATGCAGGCTGAAGAGATCCCTTTTTAAAAGTTTTTCTTATTTTCATTAGGCTGGTTCACATGAGTTCTCTGGGCCCCTCAGTGGAGGATTTTAATCACATTGTGTCTTTTGTGCTACAGTGATCACAATGCTAATCTCTGTAATTCCACATTTGGGAGCACACTTTTCAAAGTGTAAACAACTGACAGTGACTTCAGAAAGAACATTTTTCCAGAGGGAATCAAAGAGTAGAGTCACAGAGAAGCATCATAAGCCAAAAACTGAAAAAAAATTCCCATGATTGTACAAAGAAAAGTAAACCATCCTCAATTTCCTTCCCTTGTGCTGTAGAATGTGCATGAATAAAATACACGTGAATAAATTTTGTGAGGGAGAAAACTTTACCCCTTTGATCAGACTCAACCATCCAGATAAAGCCAGCCTGGGAAAAAAAAACCCATAACTTTAAAGAGAAATGTAATTCCTAAGGATCTCCAAGCAAGATAAATGGCAAGAGCTCTGAGAATAGTGGTGGAGTTGTGTTTTAATGCTGTTTAATAGCATTTGCTATTAATATAATTTATACAAGGATGTCATTGACTTTTAATTCCTTGAAAAGATGATCTTTCATAAAACCAGTATTAGTGAAATCCTTTATACCATTATGTCAGCTTGCAGCTGACTTTATGAGATCTATTGATGCTTCAAGTGACAAAATGCAACAGCACCTGAGTAAATTTAGGAAGAAAAAGAGAAAGGCAGACCTATAATCATTGCCCACACAAAATAAAAATGGAGGCATCGTGCCAGTTCTTGCATTAGCTATCCTAAATATCTTAAGATATTTCTTCCACATCAATATATTTACACTGCACTATTAAACAATGGCATAACTACTCCACTCTTGATTTCAGGATGCAATACAATTGTTGCTTCAATGCTCTAACATAAAAAAATTCTACAGATCTGGAAAAATTATGAAATGCAGTCTGAAAATGTAGCAAGGAGCTGAATTTGGGACAATGCACCTACTATGCTTGCCATGCTCCCATAATTCTTCAAATACATACCACAGAGGGTCACAGAAGGACTTTAATCTACAAGGCCAGAAAATTGCAAGATATTTTTTTTTGTCCACACCAGAAAGGTACAGCATTACAATGAATGCAACTCTCTTGACCTTTTTTAAATTATCCTACCTACCCTTTGTACTTTTATATAAGAACTACTATATGTTCATTTGCATATTGCTCATCTCTTCTTCTAGTTTGAAACATGGCATACTTTAGCATTTCATGAACTATCCCATTTATTACAGAACAGTAAAAGGACCTCAGATCAAAAGGAAATTACTGCACTTCAGTGACTGTGCAATGGTATGGACTGGGCTCCCCAGTGACTGTGTCATGGCATGTTCATTAGAAATTTATATATATGTCACAAAAAATTATGAAATGCAAGGTTTTAGGATTATGGTGGTGAAAATAGTTCCTGGTACCTCACAGAAAGCTAAGGACTGGTAAGATTTCTGATTGAGATTTTCTTTGGTGAATATAACTTATCAAGAAAATCTTTTATAAGCACCAGGAAAGCATTAGATATGTTGTGTAAAATTTTAGGGTTCAGCTATTCAAGACTTCACAAATACTCAGGCAGCTCTTAGGACCCCTAGTCATAACAACTTTAAAGATATGATCTAATCCTCACAGAAGTGCCTTTGTATTTAACAAGTGTTGGTTCCTTGCCTGTCCCTCCAACAGGTTATGCAAGATTGGGTTCAATTTTCTTTCACTTTCACCATTTACAAAATTTCTCAGGATCCTCTGATCTCAACACCCCACAGGCTTGCGGATCACTCTGGAAGGCATGAGGAGAATGGAGGAGAGGGGATTGTGGAAAATGCTCCTCCTCCCCTCTTTTTTTTCCCCTCTGGACAGCTGATTAATCAATCAACCTCATCTGCCCAGTCTACCCAGTCTTCATGACCAAATAGAAAATGGTGCACATATCATTTCTATAATACTTTGTTCCCTCAGTATGTTTGCCACAACTTCTTGAGACCAATCAGGCAGATCAGTGAGATGATGATTGCCTTTCATATAATTGAATATAAAATATAATTGAATTTTTAAAAAAAAAGTGATTGGAACAACACAAGTCTACATTTAGCACTAGAGGCTAAAGTATGTGCTACAGAAGCTTCATCCACGCAGGTATTTGTATTCTGTGGAAGATGGCTGTTGTCAGCAAGGGCAGTGAGGGCTGAAGAAACGAGCAGCCAACATTTTAACAAACAAGTATCTTCTGCATGGTTTTAGTACCACATATTCCAAGATCCTGCTTTTTACTTTGAGGTGATGGCAAAAGAAACTGCTGTCCAGAGATCAGATACAGACTGATATTTCAATTGAATGGTTTACAATGTCAGGAATTTTTTTCTATATTAATATTGCACAACTTTTAAGAAGAGTACTAATGTGTGATTCATAAAAAGGATTTTATTGGCCTGCTCAGCACTCAAAGAGGAGAAGATTTCCCATTTGGGCTTAAAGTGTTCTCAAGGTTTTGACAAATTGTGTAAAATAATCAAACTTAATTCCTTATGACTAATCAAATCAAACTACATTCACTTTAATTCTGTAGGAGTGCCTCAATTCAGGGGTTTACTGCTTTTTTTCCCTTTTAACACCCTTAGTTAATTCATATGAACATTTTAGAGAATTGCTTTATAGAGAACACCTATACATTAATGCCTCTCTCATTATTAATCATTAAACCATTTCATTACTGTCCCAAGAGTATTCAAACTTCACAACACCACACCCTTTTCAGGGTCTTTTGCTTCATTTTGGAATATCTGCAGTGCACCTTAAACCACTGAGAGAAGTATCATTGTAGTAGTAAAAGTAGTAGTAGTAGTAGTAGTAGTAGTAGTAGTAGTAGTAGTAGTAGTAGTAGGTAGTAGTGGTAATGGTGGTTGTAGTTAGAAGGAAAATTTAAATGTGGCCTAGAATTACAAGGAGAAGATGATCCTTGGGATAATTCAAAAAATCACAGTAGAATTACATTACTGTAGAGTTGAGATTCCAGAGATTAAGGTGTTGTGGTTGCTGCCTCTGGTCAAGCAGCAAGGGCAAGATGAGCCCAGGCACGTTCCACCCAGTAATATTGGGATCATATTCCAATATTAAGGAGCAGAAATTAAGTTTTATACTCCAAAACCAGGAAGTATTTGCATGGGTGTCTAATTCCTAAACAGGTAAACTTGTATTTTTACTTCATTACAAATGCAAGCTTCACTCTGATATGCTGTTTTTCCCATTTACTGTTTTCCACAGTATTACCAATCACAAAATCAGTATCTGCATGATACTGATCAGTATCTGTTATCTGTTTCTGTATAATCTGTATAATCTGTATAATCAGTATCTGTTATCTCTTTGTTTTGACTGGAGCTTCAGGAGAATTAAGATTGTTGAAGACCTCATGCTCCTTCCTTGAGGATTTCTGTGGTCTTTTCAATTTCATTTTGGCTTGCTGATTTGCTCTCTACCACCAGAACTTCCAAATTAGATAAAACAGAAATGCAGCACCTGCCTGAGAGCAGTCTGCACTATGGGAGCAGGCGCTGCTTACCTGTTTGACGGCGTACAGGAGGCGCCCGTAGCAGTACACCATGGCCACCACGGGGACAGCCAAGCAGAAGATGAACAGACAGATGATGTAGGACGTGGACTCGGCCGACTCTGAGGACCAGCGTACTGAACAGCTCGTGCCTGCACCTTCTACCCCATAACTGCTCCAACCAAGCAGAGGTGGCACGGTCCAGACCAAGGAATAAATCCAAGAACCACCAACAGCCAGCAGAGCCTTGCGGAAATCATGGCTGCGCTTGTGGCACAGGGTGAGAGTGCTGTAGCGCTCGTAGGACAGTACCGCCAGGGAGATCAGCGACACCACACCTGCAATGAACCCAGCAAGAGAAATGCTTACTTCCATCATTTTACATGTATCCATTCCAAGTCCCAAGAAAGCAGATGGTTTTTTCGGTTATTATGCATTTGAAGCAACAGTGAAAACTATTTCCATTATTCTCTATATGTTAATCCTCACTGCTCCTGGTGGCTCTGTCCATCCTGTCAAATTTTGTTTAACTCAGATTTATCTTACATTGGAAGACTTTTACACTTGACAGATATTCATCTTCTAGTCAGGTTTTCAGCTTTATCTGTTTTAGTATTACTCAGGAGAAATCCATTTTCTATCTGAGCTAATAAAATGGTGAAAGATTCCCTTGATAAGAACTATTCAACTTTTTAAATCCATGAGTATTTTAAAATAATGTATTGACTTTTACAGGGAAAAATAAAAGCCATACATTTAAGACTTGGAGCCCAAAAGTGAAAGAAGTGTTTGCTTCTTTTGCTCTCCCCATCAGCTAGATGAATCTTCAGTTTTGGCCACTCATATATGGAAAAAACAGACAACCACATCATGACTGGGATATGGCAAACTGCAACTTTATTTACATATATATTATACAATCAGGTTTAAAAGTTATTTAGGTCAATAGTAAGCCCTAGGTGTCATAAACCCATTATATTACAGCACCCTGCATGGGGTCGCTGGGGGTGAGAGAAAGATGATAATCTTGTTTCTTGATCAGAAGGCTGGATTTATTGATATATGCTATATAATACATTATTACTATACTAAATAGAATAAAGAGAGAAGTTGCAGAGCTGCTCAGCTAAGCTAAGAATAGAAAGAAAAGAATCTATAACAAAGTTGTGTCCAGGGACTCTGTCCCCAGCTTGCTCCTGTGATTGGCCCTTAATTATAAACATGGGAACATGAGCCAATCACAGGTGCATCCTATTACATGTTACAGCAGCTGATAACAATTGTTTACATTCTTCTTCTGGGGTCCCTTGCTTCCCAGAAGCTACAGAAATCTGAAAGAAAGGATTTCTGTGAAAAATGTCTGTGACACCATTATATCTTGCAGAGGAAGGCTTTAAAATTCTGGTTGTAGGATATTTCCATTCTCTTTTTCAAGTTTTAGGACCCAAGCCCCTCTTCAAAACTGTATGGTTTTCCATGGTAGGTTCTTAGTCACAGCTCAATGGAGAGGGGTTTGTTCTTTCCTATGGTTTTCTTCTCCTTGCAGCTTCCTTGAAATTCTGTGTGACAAAACACGGGGTAGCACTCCCAGGACTTATGACAGAAGGAACTTGTTTGAAGAGCTTTAAAACCATATTTTAAAACCATATTTTCCAATATGCTTTCCAGTCCCCTTCCTTTTGCTCCTGTAAGAAGAAAAACCTGAATAGATCAATGTCAGTCCAGCTCTCCATGAGTTTTTTCTTGATCTTTTCTATTAGCAACAGCCAACTATACAGCAGCACTGAGATATATAGCCTGCCAAAATTCTCTGCTTTTGAGTGGTACCTACTCCCAGAAATTGGGTTAAAAGGAAAGGTGTTCTTCAGGGCAATCCATAGCTGCAATCCATTTTCCCCATTTAACTGTCAGCTTCTCCTATAGCTATTTCCCAGGCATGGAATAGAGGTGAGTCAGAGACTTCCCTTGGGAATAGCACTACTCCATCCTTTACCTGGGAATAAAACCCACACACAGACCCACACAGGGCACAGTGGGATATTTTCCCCAGGCACAGCATTTTGCTCCACTTTTCCTTACAATTCAGTGACTCATTTCTGAGTTAACTGGATGCAGGCACAGCTATTTCTGTCATGCTGACAATTTGCAGTTACTTAATGCAGAGCTGGGTAGGCAAAGGACCCATGGGAAATGCAAGCACTGCTTGCTGCAATAGGATGCCTTATTTCTCAGGGGGAGAGAAAGCAAAAGGGTGTGAAGAGAAGGCAACTTTTGAAGAAGAAATGTCTTTCTTGTTACAAGAGTCTACTAAATTATTTTCTGTACATTACTAGGAAGTCTGTCCTAAAGAGTAGATACATTTATAGCTGTAATAGCTCCACTAAATTCAGGTGACTTATAAACTTGCTTTAAAGCTAGGCTACTTTAGAGACAGGGAGACTTTTTCACCATCCCTCACCTAATCTGATTTCCTACATAACACCACTCTTGAAAGCCCTTGGACTCGAAAGCAAAGAATCTACTACTGTCTTCATGCTCCCAGCCCACACTTAATTATCTTCACTTTCTTAGCATTGCTGCTTTCCATATTTTTATCTGCTTGATTAAAGAGCTCCTCTCTATCAAAAACACTTAGCTCATGTAGGCACCTAAGGCAAAAATCCAGATTTTATATTTGAAATTTAGGCCTCTGTCAGTTGTTGCAGATCTATTTCTGTTCTTTAGATTAGACAATCATAGACTAAACAGAAAACTGTCTCAGGAACAAGAAATCTCTCCCTTCCCAGCTGGGTGCTGTACAGCAAGGATCTATTGTTCTCACTGTACCTCTGATGGCAATTGAGACTGCATTTTTCCTACTTTGATGAGATAGCAAGTGAGCTGTACTTTTGTTGACCATATCCTACGTTCCTGCATCTGTGGGGCTGCCTAGAAAACCCAGACAGGATGTTCAGATTTCCCTAGCCTGGGGCCCTGATTCCTGGATTTCTGCTTTCACCGCTGGGCTCTCAGGACCAACCTGGCTGCCAGCTCTGCCTGCTCATCCCTGTGGCTGTGCCACTGCCCAGCAGCTTCTTCTGGTGTGTATTGTCATGATTTATGGCATCATTTACACCACGAATGCAGGATTACTTGTTTTCAGACGCAGAAAAGTTCTCTCTTACACTGGCATAGAATTGATGTTCAGATATTAAATTAGGATCGTGGTGATGTCAGTCAAGAATAAATCAAATATTAGCTATCAGACAAACACACAAAAGTTGCCTTTAAATTATAGAAAATAATTTTCTTCTCTATATAGAAGAAAATTCATGACATTTAATTGCACATCTTGACAGGAGCCAATTCATCTTTGCTCAACTTGTTATTGAGTCCCACTGACATGACACAAACTACACTTTTCTCTGGAGGACAAAAATTGTAATTTATGCAATCCCAGATCACAAAAGCTCATGAAAAAATTCCATTATTTTCAAGTTCAGCACAGTAAGACTTCAAGGTTTGAACTTTTTAATAACACTACAATTAATACTACTACGCACTGACTTCTATTACTTTCAAGACAAGGGAAAATGAGGAGTACGCTGAAGAGGTAGTTCATAAGCGATAAAAGAATTCAACATTCTTTATGTGGTTCAAACTTAGTTAGTCCAACTAACTTTTCAGAAAAATTAGAATTACTTTGAAAGAACTGGTGCTTTGAAAGACAAAAATATAAATTCAAATCCAAAATCCAAATAAAAAATTAACAAGTACAAGTAGCTTTTTCCAACAGAGAGATACATTTGGTTCAACTGGCTGCGAGTAATTAAAGCACCTATTACCCAGGTGAGGAAGAAACAGGAACAACAGAGAGCTCTGTAACCCCCTCTGTTTACTTTGTGTGACATTGGGCAGTGAACACAAAGTCACAAGACATGCCCCAACAATGCAGCTCCATCCAACCTTATTGATGGAGGGCATTTCACCTTAACACAGAAGCCAAGACTGATCAAAACAAAACTACATCAAGGATAACCTTGTTGCAATGTTGGGACAGAGCAGCTCCAGTGTCCCTGGTTGCTAAGAATATTCTCAGTTTTTTAATTAACAAAAAAACCCAACCAAACAGTTGGGGTTTTTTTTAAATCTCACTCTTTTATTAGTTCAATAACTGAATCCTAGAAATATACCACTATCCTTTCATCAATTATAACAGATACTTGTGTGTTGGACTGAAACAACATTATTTCATAAAAAAAGGCAAAACCAAGTTTTGTGTTCAGTACTTAATTTAACAATGGCTGGAAACAAAATATGAGGATCAGGTGTACATGACCTGTCAGCTTGCAGTGAATGAGCTGCCAGCAAAAAACCTGATGATTGCCTTCTCCTTTACATGCTTTTCTTGAGCACCCAGTGTCATCCTCTCCATAATTTTTCCAGGTACTGACTTTAGACCAACAGGCTTGTAGTTTCCTCAGCCCTTCCTCATGACCTTCTTGTAATCTGTTTTAGCTAAAGTGGAATAAAGCCTCCCAGTTTTCATTATGCCTCCTAGCTTTGCATACAGAGTTTTCTTAATGCCAGGTGCACTTAATGTTGTGACCTTTGTTAGAAATCCTGCAGCTATCTGGTATTCTATTTTATGCACTATCTATTGCAGTTGGAGGAACTAGTGAGAAACTCAGCTTAAAAACAAAACGCAATTAAACACTTTAGGATTGTCTCTAAAGAAAATACTTGAGTGCAATCTCCACAGCACTAACAACCAAAAAACAAATTAAAAAAATTAATGCAAGCTATAAAAAGAAGAAAATAATTGTAATTTTTATGCCAATGTTTTATTTATTGAGTAGCAACATTTATGACTGTGTAGACTGTGTATATTAATTTCAAATGAATAATTTTTTCTAGAATTGCAACAAAATTAGGTTCACAAATTGCAAATCTAAATGGAATTTGCTTCCAACAAACATTTAGAGCCTCGAGCTGATACCTAGACAAATAACTCCACAGGAGTCAATCATACTGAGAAATGTAATTTGCTCCCCAAACATTTCATGTACACATAGGAACAAAAATGAGATTCTCACTGAACAGTACTGAAAAATGTCAAAAATTCCTGTACGCAGATTGCATTACAGGAATAGATAATTATTCAAAAGTTAACCATGGAAATAAGTGACTTTGATACTAGCTGGGTGTGGTGCATAAACCTTGCTATATGGCAATTACGTGCAGTGAGCAGAGTGCACGGAATTAAATTTCAAGTCATAAACCAGGACAGACATCTATTTATAGGGCTATCATCTGAGACATTATCTATTATTTACTTTTATTTAAGGATCTGTACATT